ATTTAACCTGCCATCTAATATTGTATTATTTGTAAACTGGGTTATTGTGATTACAATGTAAATGAGGAAAAATTCACTAAAATGTTATTCAAAAGAATCTTACACAAATTAAATATGTTCAGAAAATGTTTGACCATATTTCTTTTAAATCTGTCCACCCCCACAGAGAATAGAGTGACAGAGACGTCCCTCTACGTCCGAGCAGGTTTTCTTCTAAACATAATGCAGTTTCCTGTCAAACCGGACGGAAACAATGATAAGGGTGTTTGCTTTTGTTCCTGCCACAGTTTATATACTGAAACATTTTAAAGAGAGCCTAAGTATTACCTGATCAAGAGTTAAGTGACATTTCCTCCATTTCCTAATTGAAATAGTGTGGTTGAAATAATAAATAATATGAATATTAATTAATTAATATGTAGGAAAAAGCTGAAATGAATGGATTAAGTGTGAAACAAACAGCTTCAGCCACTCCAAGTGGTACACAGTTCAGCTGCATGAAAAAAAATGGTAACAATATCCACTTTTAAAAAGTTAACAGTGTTAAATAAAACACACACAATTTTAAATTCATTCAAATTATTTACTTGGATGGATGTTTGGACCCTGACTAGGGGTTACTGTGGGGTACATCAGGTTGGGAACCATATATCCACCGGTGCAAAGCGCAGTACATTTACGCAATCACCGTACTTTGGAGATGCAGTACTTGAACTTAGGTGCTTCAGGTCATAGACTGTCTGTGGTCAAAGTGCAGGTGTAGCAGCGGCTTTGTAGTGGTGGTTGTAGTTACTGCAGCATTGGCAGTAGGACCGTGGAAAGTGTTATTAATAACAACATCTATTTATAATGATGCATAAATTCATATTTGCACTTATATTCAATGTAAGTGATTAATAACTTAACTACAGACTCAAATAGACAAACAAGCTAGACCCCCCACACTTCCTGTCAAACCCAGTTTCACAGAAACAGCGAGTGTGTCACCTCAGCCAGATGCTCGCCACCCAAAACCCCACATGTGTTTCCAACTCTGTTTATAACAGCAGTGAAGAGGCTTCAACTTCAGTTCAAGATCAGCTCTTTATTTTCCATGTCCACAAAATTGAATTCAACTACTAACTCAATTTAATTCTGCTGTTACTTAATTAATAAAAGTTATTAAATACTATATGTAATATAATGAGAAAATACAGTAAAAAAAAATAATAAAATAAAAGCCAATGTCAAAAAACATTCGCCAGACTCCAAAAAAAAAATCTAATTTATAGTAAATGATCTGAATCAGCCCCAGAAATGAATGTGTTCTTCCCTGGACCACAACCCACCCCTCCACCAAGTTCAGTGCAAATCGGTTAAGTACTTTTTTACATAAGCAAAACAACAACAACAAACAAACAAACAAAAAAACAAACAAACAAACTAACTAACTAACTAACTAACTAACTAACTAACTAACTAACTAACTAACTAAGAAACAAACAACAAAAACAAACACAAACAAACACAGGTGAAAAACACAACCTTCTTGGCAAAGGTAAAAATCCGGGACATCTTGGTGACATACGGGATATGTTTCCATATCTTTGGCTTTATCTGATGATGTCCATGTTGCCATTTTGATGATGATGTCACTGGTCCTTATATGTCTATTTGCATGATTACATCATCAGATAGCCGCCCTGCCTCAGTCAGTGACCTGTCACTGAACTGTCTGTTCTCACCTCTCTTCCTGTGTCTGTAAATGAGTGCCAGTAAGATGGTGGACAGCAGGTAAGGAGTTCCCACTATCAGGTGACGCAGGAGGGTCCAGACAGGCAGCGGAGCTGGAGGATCCCGACCTGCAGGCGTTGCAGAGAGGACAGAGACTTGAGTGAGTGGTTTTATTTGTTGACAGTCTGCCCAGACTCAAACATTTGCCTCTTCATGAGACATGTTGGTGTTCATAAACACCCAGGAAATGATAAGGCAGTTTAACTAAGAGTACACCTTATTAACGATTATTAATATCAATAACAGGCAGGTCGACAAAGTCCTTTCATTTTGTAACAACATAAACGTCTCCTCGCCTCTGACGGTCATCTGGCTGTCTGGTGACTCTCCAACTCCAGGGATGTTGCACCTGTAGAGTCCTTCATCAGATATGGAAACACTGTAGATGGTCATGTTTCCTGTGGAGCTGGTGGCGACGAGGAGTCCATCTCTATAGAAATCAGCTGTGAGGTTGTCGGCAGACATTGCATCTCTGGTTCTGCAGCACAGAGTGACGTCGTCTCCCTCCGTCACAGGAAGAGCTGGACTCATCAGGGTCACAGAACCAGCTGGAGGAGACATAGAGAGACACTCCTGACATGATTGTTTTCATCACATCAGGAACATTTTTGTGAGTGACCCCTTAAAATGAAGCAGCTGCATTTTATTTCTTCTTCTTCTGTGTTTTATTTGAAGTGCTAATCCATAAGAAGATATATTTGTGGTTTTAAGAACCAAAAATCATCTCAGTGTAATTTTACATCTCCTCTCTCAGGCTTCTCTCTGGAGCTCTAGTAACAACAGGTCTGTGAGCCAATCAGAAGAGAGGAGGCTCTGAGCCTCTCTTCTGATTGGCTGACTGTTTTCTGAGTGATCCAATAAAAATACAGCAAATTTCAGGTAAAAACACTCAGAGAAACCAAATCCTGCAAGGTTTGGATGGTGGGTCCAGGTGGGCGGGGCTTGGTGACTGCTTTGTTGTGACATCACAAAGTTCCAGAAGTAGCTGCAAATCTATGGGGTCAAATTAGGGTCAAAAAGATTCTGAGCTTCTCATTTCAACATTAGCGTAATACCAGTGACAGTGATGTTGACGGTGATGCTGGTTGTTCCCTGTCCAGTCTCACACCAGTACACTCCGCTGTCTGAGAACGGGAAGGCATGAGTGATGAGGCAGGAGAACAGACATGCACGCACCTGTGAGACAATAGACGATCAGAGGAACTGCAGGTGAACACAAACAACCTTCAGTCGACACGTATTCAAGCTTTCCAAGAATCGACTAAAAAGCAACCTCCCAGACAAACCTCTCCGTCGAGCGCCCTCTTCATCACTCTCCATTCAGTTTCCCCCTCCCACTCCTCCACCTCCTCCTCCCTCTGCTCCTTCTCCTTCTTGCAGCTCACGGAGAAATCTTCATATTTAAAGAACTGTGACCTTTCAGGGCTGACTGTCAGAGAGACTGGAGGAGGGATGAGAAAAGAAAAGAGAGGAAAGGAGGGAGATAAGGATGTATGAAAGAGGGAGAGAGAAGAACAAAATAATAATGACTTTATAATAATGACAAGCTAAATTTAATTTTGTGTTCTCAGTTGACTGACTTCACTCTCACCTCGTGCTTGACCAGACTCCGAGGAATTCAACACTAAATCTGAGTGAAAACGAAATGCCAATGAACGCAGTGAAACAGACACAGACCATTAAAATACCCCCCCCCAAAAAACAGAATATATTGTATCTGCTGAGTGCAGTCAGAAGAGCTGCTGCTCCCTCATCAAAGTGCCGATAGAAAATGAATATCTGAACCACATTTCACACTGTTGTGTTACTTACAGAGAAGCAGAGAGAGAGCTGTCACCTCCATCCTGACCTGCTGCAGAGTGAGAGACTCAAAGAGAAAGAGGGGTGGTAACCTCAGCTACACGGAAGATAGTTACCGTATATATAGATTACCTGGCAAACCCCACTGTGGTCGGAAACCTCTTTCATGAATGACCTCACCAACATGATGGCATAAAACAACTTTTACTTTGTGTTACCCTCCTTGTAGATCATCTCCCCCGCCCTAATGTGTTTTCACCTGTGTATTATTACCCTTTCCTCCCTTGTGTATCTAAGTCCCTGTCTTCCCCTCTGTCTTTGTCGTTCGTCTGTTCGCTTCGGATGAGTTTTCAAGCCTGTGTCTCTTTGTGCTTCCTCTTAGTTTTCAAGTTTATCGTGTTTTTTGTTAGTTAATCTCTCAGTTCCTGAATTTGTCAGTTCCACTTTCGTTATGGATCAGATTTTTGATACACCTGACTGGATTTTATGTCTGCTTTATTGTAGGACTTTAGTGTTTTTTCTTCGTTAATAAATCTTTATTGACCACCTACTGCTTTCGTCCTCTGCATTTGGGGTCCAAAAGTAAACTGTGACCGGCAGATTCATCAATTTAAATTGATATGCAGACTATTCCAAGTGGCTGGAACAGAAAGCATTAAGGCTGTCTGCATAGATTAGAGACAGATCTGACAACAAGATGAATTATGTGACATAAATTTGCAGAGAAATGACTGAAATTGGTCCAGAGTGGCTTTATAGATAAAAATACACCAACGAATCAGTCAAACGTCTGAATAGAGACGACCGACCAACTCTGGATACAGAGTACAACAATAAAAGACAGAGGTCCAATGAAGAATAAAAGCAAGTAATCTTTCATAAATATACTGGGTTATTAAAAATAATAATTTTTCCTTCATTGTTTAATCCAACCATCAATTTTCAACCATTTATTTGGATCCAGGACACAATGGATTTCTGGGCACAGACAAGTAAAAGGTCATAGATAAGCAATAAACGAATGAAATAAATGAAATTTATGAATGGTTATGAGAAATGTATGACGTGTGTATATATGTACACACAGCACCAGACAAAGAATATATAATTATATTTCATATTATTTATTTTCTGTATTTAGAGCCCCCTCATTACCATAGGCTATAACTTATAGTTTTATAATAACTATAGCAAACAGGTGTACAATTTTAGAATAATATCATCATTATAGAATAGAAACAGGTTATAAAGTAATTAAACAAATTACATCGTTTAAAGTTTATATTTCATTTTCAATTTTAAGCTAGTTACAGTTTAACTTGTGTTTACCTTTAGCGGTTCCTTATCATTCTCGCGACATCTTGTGGCTCTACGTCAGCAGCGCAGCCGGGTGGACGAGTAGCTCTCGCGATACTTGAGTGGTCCAAAGGTTTTCTATGGATTCCAGTCAAAACAAACAGCGATCGGAAAGTTGGTTTTAATTCCAAATAAACTTGTTTTTTAAGTCGGTAAGAGACGCCGATAAACCTGCTTACATGTTGAAATGTTAGATTACACACAGTTTGTTTCATATGAAGTACTTTTATCGAGTTTAAGGTTATTTTTGTTGAAGGTTTTCGCTCGTGTCAACAAACTAGCGTTAACGGTTAAACGGTAGAAAAGTTTTTCGACATTAGCTTTTATCAAGTTTAATTTTCAGACACACAGAGAATTATAGGCTGATATCAAAACTATAACAATGATTTAATTTTCTTACTTATTGGTCAATAATACCAGCCACTAAAATGTGATGTATCTTTAACAGTTGACAATTGATTTTTGGTGAAATTTAAAAATCTAATAAACTTTTGCATATACGTTGTCTGTATGCACACAGACAGCGATGGACATCACACCCTGATGATGATGATGATGATGATGATGATGATGATGGGGCTCGCAGACAGTTGATGTGTAGTGAGGAGGAGGAGGAGGAAGAGGAGGATGAAGATGAGGAGGATGAAGCTGAGGGTGAACCGCAGCCAGCTGCTGTTACTGTCCAGAGAAGAAACATCTGGAAACTTCCAGAAAGAAGGAACACTGCGAGTAGGACGACAGGAGAGAGGTGAGACAGATCTATTCTATTCTATTCTATTCTATTCTCCTCTGGTCTCCTCTGTCATCTGTTCTTTTCTGTTCTGTTCTTCTATGTTCACCTCTGTTCTCTTCTGCTTTCTTTTCTTCCCTTTTGTGTTCTGTTTCGTTCTATTCTGTTCTCTTGTGTTTCCTTTTGTTCTCTCCCAGCAGTCTGAGTTCGGCTGCCTTGCTCCGCGGCTCCTCAGCAGTCGTCTCCATCTATTTCCATCCTCTGACTCACTCTGACTTTAGTTCCTGGAACGTCTGTGTGACCAACAGCGTCCTGGATATTTAAGTGACTCCACTTTAGTAGAATTTAAAGGATCCTGTCGCTTCTCCGACACGAACAAAGAAAATACTGCAGATTTATGCAGATGTTCTTTCAGAAAACTTTAAATTCTTCCGTTAACAGCTGCTGAAAACACAGAATAAACGCTCTCTTTCTCAGGTCTCACTGAGAGGTTCTGTCGGCTGAGAGGAAACCTGCTGTTCATCCTGAAGAAGCAGGTGAGGCACGGAGAGAAGCAGGAAGGAAAGTGTGAGACACAAAACGACTACAGACAACGCAACACAATCTTTGTGGTCGCTTTGTGTCTTTTAACTGAGCTCTGTGACTTTAAAGCTGGCTGTGGGCCAGGGCCCCCTGACCCCTGAGGCGTCACGTCTTATTGTTTGTTCTTGTATGTATGTATTAAATGTCTATAAATATATGTGATATGCAGAATATACACAATTACAATGTACACTGCAGACGCATTTATCCAGACTGTGTGTTGCAGGGAGGTGAGGTAGACGAGGTGTTGCTGTTGGAGAGATGTGAGGTCATGAAGCTTCCTGATGACAACAGACGACTGGCTGTCAGTGCGTAATACACACACACACACACACACGCTCATGTTTTTACATATAATGTTAGCCAGTTGTATATGCTCATAGGTAAAAGTGGTAAATTGTGTGCGTGTGTATGTGTGTGTGTGTGTATTCAGCTTTTGAGAGCGGCGACCCTCCTGTGTTACTGCAGTCCAGCAGCTCTGCAGAGTGTGTGTCCTGGGTCGTCGCCCTCAGAGACGCCAACACCGAGACGCTGAGGAGACGCATCACACACCTCGACGCGCTCATCAACACACACTCTGCACACTGCGCCAGGGGAGATACAAGCCTGGAAAACAATGGAGGTTCAGGTGAGTGTGTGTGTTTAATTTACTCAGCACAATGTCCAGTAAATATCTTCACAGTGTTGATGTAATGTTGCTCTGTGGCCACAAGGTGGAGTCACATCTGCTGTTAAAGTCTCTCCACTGCACCTGACTGTCGGTAAGCTGCACACACACACACACACACACACACACACACACACACACACAACAGAGTTACTACTTGATTGCATTTTTAAAGTTTTTGAAATACTGTTTCCTTATGTGTTTATATAAATAGTTTTAAACACACACACACACACACTCACTTTTTCTCTCTCTCAGAGTGTCGAGGTGTGGTTTCAGCGGCTGCTGGAGTCCAGATTCAAGTGTGTGTGATCGACACACTCACTCACACAGTCAGGAAGCACTGCTGCTCCGAGATAGAGAAGGTACACACACACACACACACTTTCACACACATCCATGTCACAAAGTTGTTACTGTTGTGACTCTTGACTCGTGTTTCATGTTGCTGTTGTTGTATGGACCATGTTCAGTGTCACACCGTCGCTGTGAAGACATTTCTGCTCCTGTGAGGACGTTGCAGTCGCTCCTCAGCAGCTCAGAGGACTGTGTGAGGGTTAACACTTTGTTTTAAAGTTAAGCTTAGGCTCAGGTTTAGGTTTGAGTCAGGGTTTGGCATTTAGTTGTGATGGTTAGGATGTAATTTGTCAGTGAAGGTCCTCACAGCTATGGAAAGACAAACATTTGTGTATGTGTGTGAGTACTTCCCGTTACTCATGTTGTGGGCACATAAATTTGTTCACACAGTCATGGTGGTGAGTCGAGTCAAATTTTATTTACATATCACATCAGCCTCCGGAGGCTGAACAGTCTGTACAGCGGTACAGACCCCTGTGTGCTCCGACTAATGAAAACCTTTATCTGGATAAAAGAAAGAAGAAACAGAGGAGGGACAGATATGGAACAGATCTCATGTGAACAGAACAGTTGAGCTCACATGACTTGTTGTTATAATCCGTAAGAACAGTCGGTATCTTGTATCTTGAGTGGGGGAGGGGTAATCACTTCATCGGGGTCATCAAGTCTGTGAGTAATACAGTAGTAGTACAGAATAAGGATGAAAAGATTGTAGATTAGAAAACATAAATTAGATTAGAAACATATATTGTGGAGAATTGACTTACATTTCAAGACAAAAAACAAGTTCACATGACATTAAATCATTAGATTTTAGGGTGAAGACTTGTCAGGGTAAATGTTAGGTTCTTAATTTATTAAGCCAATGTCTCTGTTGACACTACAGGCATCTGCAAATAATGTAGTAATAAAGTAATAATAATGGACGACCAGCTTAAATGTTTGTTGAGTCAACAGAACAACGTGTAATGTTTGCAGGAGGATACTCAAGACAACAAGTCATTTCTTTAAATATTGATTTACCATCCAACAAGTTAAAGGAGCTATTTGTGAGTTTTCCCGTTGCTACATAGCTAGCGTTAGCATTAGCAGCTGTTTATCTACCAGTCTAAAGAAACGTTGTGAGTTCAGCATCAAACTTGATTCCTTTACTCACCAAGAGCTTCTAATTCTATCACTTATTTTTCTTCTGCTGAAGTTAGCATGCTAACCAGCTAGCCTTGTGCTAGCTAGCTTGTGTCATCACTTTCTGATACCGAGTCACTGTAGTGCCCTTAAGAAGTAGCTGCTCAGAGGTGGTATTATAACCTCTTGTCTTGTAAATGAAACTAAGGCGAAGCTCTTGGCAAGTCTGGTAGGTAAACAGCTGCTAATGCTAACGTTAGCTATGTAGCCGCTAGCAAAACTTACAAATAGCTCCTTTAAAGTGAGAACTTTTGTCAACCGTCAGATTCTGTGACCTGTAACGGTTCAACAACAATTTTATCCTCAGGTAACGTTAAGTATAATGTGAAGCAAAACGTCAGTGGTTTGTTTGATATTCAGTGGATGATTAAATAGAATTAATATTATTGTTGTTTTTGCTTTAGTTTCTACGGCAGAGTGAGGACAGAGTTAATGAAGGTCACAGAGCAGCTCTACCACCTTCAGCTCAGCAGATGGTTTCAGTTTCACAGTTGAGAACTGTGGCCTCTGTTAGTGTCAGTGTCTTGTCCTGCAGTTGGTCTTAAATCAAATTAATAACATCAAAATTAAATTAAATAAAAACAGTAAAATGTTATTGCAATCAAACGACTTCAAAATAAAATGCTGTTGAACCCCGGGTTTATCTTAGCTCTGGGAAATGAATGTAGGTCAATGTAATGTCCTCTGAAGTCACAGAAACACAACTGTATGTTTGTGTGTGTCTCGCAGGGACCGGATGAGAGAGTGTTTGTAACATCTGTGTGTTTCCATGGCGACTACCCTCTCTACCATCACAACAGGATCAAAGTCACAGTTTATCGCGCAGAGGAGCCGACAACACACAAACCAGTGAGTGTGCGCGTGTGTGTGTGTGTGTGTGTGTGTGTGTGTGTGTGTGTGTGTGTGTGTGTGAGAGAGAGACAGAGAGAGAGAGAGAATGTGTAGATGTGTCTGTAAAATTGTGTATATAAGAGGATTAGCTCAAAGGATATGTACATGTGTAAAACCAGTGGTGGTCGCTTTTCAACACACACTCGATTTCTCTCTCAAGTCAGTTAATCTCGCTCTCACACACACACACACACTCTCTCCCTCTCTCTCACACACACACAGAGAGAGAGAGAGAGAGAGGGGGAGAGATGGGATGGTGAAACGAGGACAGCTGCAGAGAGAAAGTGAGATTTTAGGTAAATGGATGTTTCCGTTTTCGGCTCTTTTCTCTCTTTCATTTCTGCCGAACCCGACCACGACCGGCCCACCAGGCGCTCCGCTAATCTGCATATTTCCCATGATGCCGGCGTGCGTGCGATTTTAATCCTCTAGGCCGTGACGAAAAAGGAGGAGGAGAAGGTGATGGAGGGAGCAGAGAGACGGTCGGCCGGTGTGTGTTAGTCTTTTCAGCCGGAGCAGAGGAGACGACCGGAGCAGGATTCTTTCTGCTCCTTTTTCATGATTGATGGATTATTTTGTTCGGACATGTGCTGGTCCCGGGATACTGGACGCTCCCGCTCTTCTTCTTCTTCTTCTTCTTCTTCTTCTTCATCATCATCATCTCTGCTTTGAAATGTTCCCCGATTACTCTCTGTAAATCCATCATGAGCGAGAGAAACAGTCTCTTACCTGCTGCTGTTGTTGTCATTTCATTTGACTCTAATGTAAGATTCAGTCGAGCAGGAAGCTTTAATGTCTGTAGTGCGTTCGGGTGCAGGTGGGAAATTCCAGGTCAGTGTTGGAGGTATTGTAGCTACTCGGAGTAATCAGATTACTTCTTGTTGTGGCAGGTAACTTCATCAGAGGAGCTGGGTATCAAAGAAATGTTCCCCGAATATGTAAAACTACAACTGAAGGTCAGAGTCTTAATCTCCTTTAGTGAAGCATCAAACAAGTCTTGCTGTGGTAACTGTGCTGGACTTTAAGAACTGTATCTGTGATAATACTGAAGATTTTCACACAATATTAAAGCTGCAACTAACAGATATTTTTTATTATTGATTAATCTGACGATTATTTTCCTGATTAAATGTTCTGTCTGTAACAATCAGGAAATAGTGAAGCAGGTTTGTGATAATGTCAAACTGCTGCTGGTGACATTTTCAACAACGAAAGGCGTCACATCCTCACGTCTGAGAAGTAACCAGTGAATATTTCTTCTTTTAAAAATGTCTCAAGCAATTAATTGATCATTAAAGTCGTGATTATGACGAATCGATTAATCGACTGATAGTTGCAGCTCTGAAATACAACCCTGTCCTGTTCATAGTTTGTCTTTAAAGACATCTCCTTCCTAGGTCACTACAAGACGAACATAAAAGCCTCTGTGAGGAGGTCAGAGGTCAATAAACAGGACAAATATTTATGGAAATGCTCTAAAAAAATATCAGGACTTTTAGAGAAACAGGTGGAAAAGAAAAAGGAAAATGACAAAGAAGAATTTCCTCAGTATGAGTTTGTTGAATTTGCTCTTTCTAGCTGTGGAGTTGTGGGTTTTTTAACAGTTTCCCTGCAGGCTTTTATTTTCTTCAGTAGCTCGACAGATGTTTTAACAGATGTTTTAACAGATGTTTTAACAGAGCTCTCGCTGACTGGTGCGGCTTCTCTTTTATTTATTGATTTGTCGTCGTGTGTCTCGCGCTGTGGTCGTCGTTTGTTGTTGTTGTGTGACGTAAAGGAATCTAAAGAAAGAGGAGACTTTAGTTTTGGTCAGGACCGAACATCAGAGACTGATGTGAGAAAACAGGAAACACTAAAAGCCAGAAGAGAAGAGACCGATCGGAAACAGGAAGGAAGAGTTTTTTCTTCTTGTGGTGATGCAGAGAGTGATGATGGCGTGCACCAAGTGTTTCTGTCCACCAGGAGACAACAGCTCCTCTGCTGGACAGGTAGGGGAGTGCACACACACACACACACACACACACACACACACACACACACACTGACAGTAAATGTTCTGTGGAGTCGTCTGAGTCCACGTGGTTTGTGTATGTGTCTGGGTTTGATGGGGATTAGCATGTAATCTTAAAAGCCTCTTTGTTCTGCCCAAGAACTCAATGAGACAGATTAGCTCAGTGTGTGTGTGTGTGTGTGTGTGTGTGTGTGTGTGTGTGTGTGTGTGTGTGTGTTATTGCCCAAATCATCAGATGCAAAGAAGGAAATGTGGCAAGTGAACGTCTCAATATCCTGTTTGTTTGTTTCTGCTTCAGTTTCAGTGAAAAACACAAGTCCTCTCTCTCACACTGAGACTTTTAATCTGAATTTGTTCCTTCCAGACGGGTTTAGGATTTACGAGTTTATTCATCTCTTAATGGATTGATAGGAAATGAATCAACCACACTTTTGATGAGTGATTAATAATCCTTTATCAGGCAGAAATGTCTCGAATATTCCAGTTTCTAAATGGTCTCATCTGCCTTTAATACAACACGTTGATTAAGAGATATCAGTGTTTTAAGTTGTGAACTTTTTCACAATTTTCTTACAATATTTGAACTTTTTTTAGTAATTTTTAAAAAAGCATTTGTACTTTTCTTTGTTATATTATTGTGAACTGAATCTGAAGTTTTTGACTGTCGGTCAAACACAACTAAACATTTGGAGACGTCACTCTGGCCTCAGGGAAATCACAGTGAGCACAATGTCGCCACATTTAATCACCTCAATGATTAAGATGAGAAATAATTAAAGTAATGAGTAGATGAAACTCTTTCCTGGATGATGCATCGCTGCTGACATTCAGCCAAGTTCATTGTCATTGTTCAAGGACTTTCTGACATCAGGTAGTTGCCAAGTTTATTGTTAACGTCTTCGGCCAAATTCACGCCGTCATCGTCACGGTGACCGTGTTTGATTTTCTGTCAGTGCGTGGCCGCTCAGCAGCTGAGTGTCAGTTCTTGGACGGCCTTCAGCGTACCAACAGCTGGATGTGAAGGGTGGCCAGCTCTGATGACTGTTTTATGGAGGGTTTGTAAATTTCTGTGACCCTTCAAAACTGTTATTAAATTCTATTAAACGTCACGTCCATCTGACGCTGGAAATCCTCCGTCGAAGAGCAGAGAGACGCGAAGAATTCATCTTTCATTTGTGTTTTACTTCACTTCAGTTTGATGTACTGTGTGTGTGTGTGTGTGTGTGTGTGTGTGTGTGTGTGTGTGTGTGTTGAGTGATTTGAGTGCTTTTCACTCGTCAAGGTAATCCTCTGAGCTTCTGATTATCGTCATAGCAACAGAGATAATGCCGCTGCTGTGTGGACTTTTGCTGCATGGCCTTGACCCCAGGGATGATGAGGAGTGTGTGTGTGTGTGTGTGTGTGTGAATGGGTCATTCATTAATTAATATTACAGTACATTAGGAAGAAGCTTAAAACTGTCCATAAGCCCTTTATATAACTCAGAGCAGGAAACATCCTGCGTATAATTCAGGGCTGTTTGTTTTTTAGGAAATGGGCGGGGGCGTTGTCACGTGACTGTTCCTGTTGTTTTGGTGGTGAAGTTAATTTTCTGACTGATGAAGTTAAACCTAGAGAACAGGGTTTGGCTCTCTACCAGCAGCCGCACAGATCATGGCGAGCAGGTGTAACCTCAGCTCCATCGGGGGAACTCCCATGTGACAGCAGAGTCAATGATCAGATGAGGAACTGAGGCTTCAACCAGGAGAAACAGTCTTCAAACAAAAGGAAGAAGTTTTGATGTGGACACACAGCCGCTCGATAAGACCTCTCTGTCTGTGCGCTGTAAAGTCTTATCTTATTGGAAGGGTGTTAGTATTAGCATATAGTACTTTCAGTCATCAACTGGTATGTAGTGTGGAAACAGAAACAACAGCAGAGCGAGAGACAGGATCTGTACAGGAAAGGTCTGCCTCGGAGACAATCGAGGGCTGGCTCTCAACTGGTTTTTATTCCAAACAAAACAGATGTTAAACACATCACCTCCTCTGCAGGTGATTGTTTAGAAGAACAGAGAAAACCTCCTGGACTAAACTGGATTACTTCTGGACAAGAGAAAACAGACTATTCAAACACTGAAATGTCAGTTTGATGTAAATTGCTCTCTCTCTCTCTCTCTCTCTCTTAGAGGAGCTTTCTGGGTTTCACCTCCTTCTCCATCGGAGATCTGCTCAGGTCCAAGGAGCCTCACATCTCCGTTAGCCTCAGGTAAACACACTCCTCTATCAGCTATCCCTGAAACCTCACCTTTAACACCTGTCCTGGATCATTTTTACCACCTCATCATAAACCCTGTGCACCTTTAAATTCTCCCTTTAACCTCCAGAATCTGGGACGGTTTCTTTCACCAGGCCGCTGTTCATAAATACAGTCATATCTTTTGTCCTTGCACTCATCCCCTGCAGATGATGAGTTATTCTGCAGAAATAACCCTCATTACCAAACTCAGCTCAACTAAAACCACCAAAAATACATCCTAAAGGCATCTCCAACTCCTTTAGGTTTTACTGAATGCACCTTTTACCACCATGCGTATACCCTCTTTGCCCTTTTCCCCATTTCTCATCAAAGAAACCCTTTGAAGTGAATGTAATGCAGCTCATAGAGACTTCATAGAGGCCTGGGAGTTGTCACCTGATTGGACGTTGCTGGGATACCTGTAGGCAGAAGAGGAAGTGAGATGGGAAGAAAGGGGGGTGGGGGGTGGGGGGGGATGTTGGCCCCACCTCCACAGACAGTTGAAATACACAATCTCTTCCTGTTTTCACATCACAACGTCTCCAGAGATACTGACACACACACAGGGCTGGAAAGAGGGAGAGAGAGGGTGAGAGACATAGGCAGAGAGTGGGGGAGAGAGCCAGCCAGCCAGGTGTAAGCAGGAAGTGTGCAGAAGGTGTGTCTGTGCTGACATGTTGCTGCATACCTGGCACAGGTTGGCAGAGCTGCAGACTTGGTGCTGCTGCTTTGTGTTTTCCACAGTTAGAGAAGCTGCTTAGATTTGTTGTCCTGGATAACTTTTCTTTACTGTTCGTCCCGCTAATTTGTTTTTTATATTCTCTCTGTGACATCATCATCTTATTTGTATTGATCAGTTTCAGTTAGTTTGTCTTTTTTAGTTAATGTCATTATGTCTTGTTTACAGTTAACTTTGTCTTGCTAGGTATCTTGTTGTTAGTTAGCGTTTCCTGTTAGCTATTTGTTTCTTGTTCATTTATCTTGCTAGCTATTTTGTTTATAGTTTTTTTGTTGTCTTCTAGTTTGTTTATTATTTTTTGTCTTGCTTCTAGTCTGTGTTTCTTGTGTCTAGTTAGCTTTGTCTTGTTTTGAGTTAGCTTTTCTTATAAGATGTGTTATCTTAGTTAGCAACGTGTGTATGAAGTGTTATAACGTCAGTATCCAAATGTGGACCTGAGCTGAGCTGAGAGATGAGTAGTGACAGGAAGTGAACGGGGGTGAATTCACTGTCCTGCTGCAGGTAAACATCCTCCTTAGCACTCACTTGTCTTTTGGCTTCTCAGCATCAAAGCTCTTGTTCTTTCTCGCTTCCTGTTTATCTTCATCAGGACGATGGACGGAGTGAACGAGGTCGGGGAGGTGAAGGTGTCCCGTCTGCAGATGGAGGGAGAGAACGACGACAAAACTCCTCCTGAACACAAGGTAGAGGAGGAGAGAGGAAGAGAAATGCTTGCCTTCACTCTGGACTTTCCTCTTTCTGGCGGCGCTTGCGTAACGCAGAGATGTCACTGTTTGAAACTTTGCTCTGTGGTTTCTTCTCTGTCACATTTGGTTTAGTTCACAGTAGCTTTCTCTTTAGATCACACTTCACCCCCTTCATACCGTCTTTTCTCGCTCTTCCTCTGCTCCAGTGTCCTGCTCTGTGTGACAGTCTTCACAGCTCTGTCCACGACAAAGAAAACAGTCCCATGATGCGAGCTGGTGAGACACATACACAAGCAAACGATAGCAAATTCTACTAACTTTTCTTTCTTACCTTAAATATATATATGTGTGTGTGTGTGTGTGTGTGTGTGTGTGTGTGTGCAGTGCTGTGTTCTCAGGTGTGTAAGGTGTACAGGTTTCAGACGGAGGATCAGCGATGGCTGCTGGTCAGGGAACAGTTGTCAGAGACGCCGCTCTCTTTCTCTTTACCCAAACAGCTACTGAGCGCGCTCATACGCGAGCACACCAACAGGTACGTGTGCGATGTGACTGGACCATGGGAGAAAAGAGCCACTGTAAAATTTAAAATAGTAACTGGGGCTTTTATTTAGAGAGAGACGGACACACCTGTATTTCCAATTTCCTGTTGTCTTGATGAATTCAGAATAACGTCCATTTCTACAGCACTAACTCATCAGTACATCAAGAGTCACGTCGGACGTTTAACTGTTCACCCAAACAACGTGAAGCTGCCATGAGTGAAACTCAAATTTTCCTCCAGAAATTTCACAATAAAAGCTTGTAGCGTTTCCTTCAGGTATATTGGAATTAATTTGAGAATGATCAACTTTAAAAAGAGAGACTCTGGTGAGTATAATATGACTCTGTTGTTGTACTGATGAATTAGAGCTGTGGAAAAGTTCATTATACTAAATTTACCATGTGAGCTGTTGAAGCCGACTACAGGTAATTCCCTCTGTGTTCTTTTTACCTGGTGACCGGCTTTTATTTGTTCATGCTGGTCCATGTTCTTGGCTCCTATTGGAGACGTGACGATCTGCTGATAGTGGTGCACATCTTCAGACTGTCTCTCATTCATGATGTTACGCTTGTGAAGTGGGTGCAAACGTCAGATTTTCAGTTTCGGAAAGTCAGAAAGTTCTTTGATGCAGTCTTCAGTCTAATTCAATGTCGGAAAGGTGTAGGAGGAGGAAGAGGAGGAGGAAGAGGAGTAGGAGGAGGAAGAGGAAGAGGAGGAGGAGGAGGAGGAGGAGGAAGAGGAGGTTGTTGTTGTTTCCAGGTTGTTTGGGACCAAACAGAAGAAAAAGATGAACAGTGTAGTTCACATTAGCTTCGACAGAAACCCACAGAAAACCAAAGGAAGAAGATCAAACACTGAATTTCAGAGTGTTTAATAATGTATTAACAACTTCTTTTGTCCTGGATCTGACGCTCGTTGGCTCAGATGTTGAATCAATAATATGCTGTTAACTGGAAGCTCAATTTTCTGTTTAATTAATTATCTATACAACAGCAGAAGCTTATTTACTTTGCTGCTTATTTCTTATAAGTGGCACTAAACCTTTGGTAACAAGTGGAACATGAGGAATTAAAATAACATCTTCACAGACGGATGTCAGTCCTGAATGACTGTGGGGCCGAGGAGATTCTGCAAACAGTGTCGGATGATTCGTGTCACGTCTTACAGGAATTTCTATCTAAACTAAATGTTCAATGATTCAATAATATGAAAGATAAAGAATAAACACTACAACATGGTCTAATGTTCTATAACAGGATTTAACTGTGACTGTGACGTCTGTCTGACTCTGTGTCAGGGTCCAGGAAGTGAAGGAGCTCGGTGACCTTTCACCCCACTGGGATGGGCTCCGCCACGATGTCATCAACCACTGTAACCACCTGATTGGCTGTTATCAGGAAACACTGGCCGAGCTGGACAAGCTCTCAGGTGAGGTCCATTAAAGAGTCACATAGTTTTAGCTTTTCTGTGAATACTGGTAACTCTGGTAACGCTTTGGTTAAAGTATTTATAAGCAACATGTTATAAGGACGTTGTAAGCGTTTGTGTCACTGGTTGTTTTTCTTGTCTCCTGCAGCGTCGTCCTGCTTCAAGTCGAGCAGCAGTAAGTCAGACAGACACCTTCAGTTCGTTCCCACCAACCTGCACTCACAGAGGATGGAGGTCACCAGTCCAGACAGCGCAGGTTCATTACTCTTCTTTTACTCCATCTTCTCCTCGTCCTCTTTGTTTGGAAGCTGCGGTCTTTATATTGTTCTCAGTGACGCTCCGTCTCTCTGTCTCCAGGTGTGTGGTATGAGGTTATAACATTCGGTGCTCCGGCTGATCACCACCAGGCCTTTAAACATGGCGGACTGAAAAAACTGCTCAGCAAACACACCAACCACAGAGACAGGTAAACTCCTCACCTGCTCTCTCTCCTCTTCCTCCGTCCGTCCTGAGCAGCTTTCCTCTCGCTCTCCGTCCGTCGCTTCATATTGTTGTCTGCTGGTTAATCTCTGTAATCTCTGCTCTGGGGATTAGTGATGCTGCATTGTAGATTACTACACAAATACAGTGAATTATTTGGACTTGTCAGGATCCTCCGTTTAGATCCAGCAGCTATAGGATGGAAAAGGAAAACAAGATCTTCTCAGATTACTTTTTTTATTAAAACTGTAAGTTGCATGTGGTTTAGTAAAAAGAGATTTTACAGATATTGTATGTTTTTCTCCAGAAGAGATTTGTGTCTTTTACTGAAAATTAAATGAAGCTCAACAGTCCAGATGTGACGTTTCAGACAAACTGAGCTAAAACCTTCCAACCATGACCAGCGTGCTATTATATATATATATATTATTGTTATTGTTATTGTTATTTTAAGGAACAAAAAACTGAAGAAATTCATATTAAACTGTAAAACTTACAGTGTACAGTAGTTTGAGGTTTGTTAACTAGTTTATATAAAGCTGCAATTTAAGATTGTTTCCACTGTATATAAATCTTCTGATGATCTAATATCATGATAATAATTTCTTGATTAATCCACTGATTGTTTGATTTGTAAAATTCAGGAAATAGTGAGGGCAGAAGTGAATGTCTGTAGTTGTGCAGCAGGACTCTGAAGCTTCGCTCCTCCGTCTCCAGCTCCGTCTCTTACTCTCAGGACGAGAGCTCCAGGGCCAGGGAGCTGCTGGCCAGCGTGGCCCAGCTGCAGCCTCTGGTCTTCGGGCTCGCCGAGGAGCTGCTCTCCGTCTCCTTGGAGCTGAACGTGGCTCGACTGCAGCAGGTGCTGGACGGCCTGACTCGGCAGGTGAGGAGGGATGCGGGTGACACAGGTGACACATTCTGCTCGGACAGGTAACAGAGGAAACTTTAATTCATCTTCATCCGTCTCGTGGCTTTGTCTCGTTTTCATCCAGACCGAGCAGTTTGTTCACGCTCTCAAAGACGAGCTGGTGAAAAGCGCCCTGATGGCGATCCACCACCAGTGCAGGGCCAACTGCAACAGCAGCCACGTCCACAGCAACGGGCTGCTCTGCGAGAACTCGCCAGTCAGTCAGGACGGGCAGCCTCCGCTCGGCCATCAGGACGTCGCCCGATGTGACGCGGAGTACGACGAGGAGGAGTGGGCAAGTCGGAGTGTGTTAGTGAGGCCTCAGCTTGGTTTGGACAGTTTCACACGAGCACAGTTTTTATATATGTGTGTGTCTGTGTAGGACCGGGCGTGGGCCAACGTCGCCAAGATCCTCAACTGCATCGTCGTCATGGTGGACCGGCTGCAGGGGCGGGAGGAGCGGCCTCCGGAGCTGACGTCAGCCGAGCTGCAGGAATCCA